GGTTAAGCCTCTGCCTTCCCCTCAGGTCATGATCTCAGGGTCCTGGGATGGAGCCCCACAAGGGATGGAGCCCTGCATCCCCTGAGGCTCTCTGCTCAGCAGGGGGCCTACGTTCCCATCGCCCCCGCCGCCCTTCTCTGCCTGCCTTTTTTTTTTAAATTTTTATTTATTTATTTGACAGATAGAGATCACAAGTAGGTAGAGAGGCAGAGAGAGAGGAGGAAGCAGGCTCCCTGCTGAGCAGAGAGCCCGATGCGGGGCTTGATCCCAGGACCCTGAGATCATGACCTGAGCTGAAGGCAGAGGCTTAACCCACTGAGCCACCCAGGTGCCCCTCTGCCTGCCTTTCTGTCTACTTGTGATCTCTCTCTCTCTCTCTCAAAATAAATAAATAAAATATTTTTTAAAAATCAGGTTACTTTCCACCTAACCAACCCTTAGGGATGAACTCCTTTGATGGAGGTAATACTTTTTATTAGAAATATTGAAAGCATGGACACCTGGGTGGCTCAGTCGGTTAACTGTCCAACTCTTGATTTTGGCTCAGGTCATGATCTCAGTGTTGAGGGATTGAGCCCTGCTTCGGCTGGGCGTTGAGCATGGGGCCTGCTTGAGATTCTCTCTCTCCCTCTCCCTCTGCTCCTGCCTCACCCTCACTGCCCCCCTTACTTGTGTATGCACATGCACATGTGATCTTTCTCTAAAAACAAAAACAAAAAACCAAAAGTATTGAAAAGAGAAGTGAGAGAGTTAATTTTGGAGTTCTAACTGCTTAGGGAGGACTGGCAGGGATATTTTGGAGAGTAAAAAGGCAGCATGAGGGTGCCGGGTAGGGGAACAAGGAGATGGGGTTCTAAGAGGCTGAGAGAAGGATATAGAAAGCAGATGGAACAATTCCAATGACAATCTGCAAATCTTCCTAGAGGAAGGATCCTGAGTTTTCCCTTCTTCCCAGGAAAAAAAATGAAAAGCAACCTCTCTCTTTACAAAATTGAGAGGCGACCAGATGGAAAGGATGGTGATAAGGATGAGGATGGTGACAATGACAATAACTAGCATTTACCATGTGCCAAGCACTGTTCAAATTAAGTATTCAATCCAGCTAACAACCCTAAGAGGTACACACTATTATTTCCATTTTACAGGTGAGGGAGCCGTGCCCTGTCAGCCGGCCCTTAGCTCTGAAATCTGGGGTTGCAGGTAAGAGAGGACAGGGGTATGCGGCCACCTCTCTGGCTGGAAGCCCTCCACCTCCCACTCTGAGATGTCTGCCCAGCGGAGGACAGGCAAACAAACCGGGCCCGTGATGTCTTGTCATAGGTAGTGAGTGTCCTGCACCTGGATAGAGGGAGAGCAGGACATTACCTGACATCATGAAAGGAGGTGGATATCAGCTACACCTTTGGTCTGTCTCTAGACCTCAACTTTATTTTTTTTTTAAAGATTTATTTACTAATTTATCTGAATGTGGGAGAGGGGCAGAGGGAGTGAATCTTCAAGCAGACTCCCCACTTAACACAAGATCTCGAATGGGGACTCAATCCCACGACCCTGACGGAGGTCATGACCTGAACCGAAACCAAGAGTCAGATGCCCAACTGAGCCACCCAGGCACCCCTAGACCTCAACTTTAAAGTGAGAAGGGAGCTGGTGTGTATAAGGAGCAGACATGACATAGAATCTTAACTTAGAAGACTTAGGTCTGGACCTCACTGGTTGACTTTGAGCAGGTCATTCCTTCTCTCTGAGCCAACATTTCCTTAATTACACAACAAAGGCATTAGATGAGAGTTAAGCCTCTGAGTTCCTTTCCAACTCAAAAACTATGTAATTCTAGAACCTAGTGGTTGGGTATGACAAATTATGATCTCTTTCTCCCACTGCATATGCTCGAGAGCATGATATTTTGGGTATAAATATGCCAATGTCTGCTGTCTGTATATGTGTATTCTGGCTATATGACTAAAACCTTAGCTGTTTGTGGGTAAATAAGGGATGCTTCTTGGTTTTCTCCAGCAGAGACCAAACTGAGATAGTAAACTATAAGATCAGTGACTTGAGGGCAAATGATTGTAGAAAAGGTTTTGGCCTGAAACCATTCTTCACCATAGTTATTTTCTCCGTTTTTTTTTTTTTTTCTTACAACCGAATCTAATTTAGTTTTGACATCAGCCCTGTGGAATGGCACAGGTTTTTATAGAAAAGGAAAAAGAGCCTCAGAGATTAAGTGACTTGTTCAGGATCACACGGCTCATTAGAGACAGAGCCAAAACCAAGGTCTAGGGCTTCTGATTCTGGGCTTGTGTGTTCTTCCGAGTACTGTGCTGAGTGTCAGAAGAGACTGTGTGCATAGAAACAGAGCCAGATGGGGTCTGTTTCTAGGTGAAGGCAAAGTGGAGAGCCTCTAGCCAAAGGATGCCAGGCTAACTTGCCTGCCCTCTCCTTCCATGTCTGTAGCCTACTGCCTGCTGTGTCCTTTCATTCAGACTAAAGGCTCAGAAGACTTAAAGATAATAGCTAATTTCAAGAGCCACAGACTATGATTAGAATTAATTATAATGTCAGAGAGCAATGATAAGAAGTAATAACATTCTGGAGCCTCTGGCAAGATGTGGAAGATGTTTACTAACTCTTCCAGAGAATAACCTAATTTGCCCTCTTTCTCTGGGCTCACTTCTATGAAGCAGGAATGGGATCACACCACCTCTCATAGCTTCTGTGAGAATCAAAGCAGATTATTAGGTTACGGTGCCTCTGAAAAGACACAATGTTTGCTTATTCATTCAACCGGCCGACATTCATTGAGCACCTACAATATCTCAGGAACTGTGTTAGGAACTGAAGGAAGACGAAGACAAACAAGAAGCAAGGAGCTCCAAATCACCGTTACTATCTCCCCTACCACCTTCTCTTAACCCCTTATGCCTCTTCTTGTTTGGGACCATAGGAGAGAGAACGGTCTCTAGTGGTCCAACTCCCCAGCTAAGTGCTCCTCTAGAGAATTCTTGCCAGGGCCCAACCTCTAGGCCTTCATTGGACCAACCGAAGGCTCCCTCTGCTGCAGATCCTTCAACAAATCATTAATTCACATGCTGTGAACCAGGCATGGGTCTAGGTGCTGGGTGAAAGATGGTGAGCAAACCCACAAGGTCCCTCAGAGAGTTCACTTTGTACTGGGGAAGGCAGACCTTAAGCAAATCAACACACAAATAAACATATATTCACAAATCATGGTAAGGGTGTTATGAGGTGAGGAGAGAGAAGCAGAACTCCAAATTTAAAGACCTATGGGAGGAGACATGAAGCTGAGATCCTAGAAGGATGAAAAGTCAGCTAGTGGACAGCCTGAGGAGGAGTCCTCCAGGCAGAGGGAAGAGTGTGGCCAAAGGCCTTTGACATAGGAGGGAACAGGGTGTCTTCAAAGAACTGACAGAAAACCAGTGCAGCAGAGACCAGAGCAGGCAAAACAGGGGTGCTTGGCAGAGCTAGCATGAGAGGCAGGGCCAGACCAGGCTGGGCCTATAGACTGAGGCAAGGAATTCACTGTAAGTGCTCTGCACTTCTAGTGCCTTCTGCCGTCTTCCCAGCACTAGTAAAGAAACAACCTGGGTTGTTCTGCTAGCTCTGCCATCCCATGTTCGTGATGAAAAGTTGGGAGTTAGCTAGGGAAATTTATCATAGTACAAACCCTCACAGGAACAAAAATATATATCCGTTTCAGCTCCTTTCCTTTAGGGGACTAACTTATAAACTCCTCCGACCCAGAACCTATGAACTGGGAGGTTGATGCCAAAGCTTTTCATCCCCACCCCTACAGCAATCACAGATCTACAGAAAGAAGTTGGTTAATTCCCTGGTCATTGTGCCTATTGCCCATGGACTCCTTAGTTTACTCAGATGGCTCACATCTCTTGGGATGGAAGATTGATTTGCCACTTAAGACCTAGAAGGCGATGCAAATGTGCGCAAACAACTGTAATAAAGGGAAGAGAGTGATAAAAGCCACACGAGGTGTAGCAGAGAAAAACTACTGAAACATTAAAGCTCTTTCAAATTACATGCTATGGGAGCTATTGAGGGCTCCTCTGTAAAGAAAACATTACAAAGCGGTAAATTAGAAGCGGTGCAAACACTGCCTCCTGTAGGAGATCACAGGAAGCGCGGCCAGGTGGAGATTGGCACTTTCGAGCCTGGCAGGTAGGGATGTAAATTGGCACTTTGGGGATCTTTCTGGGAAGAAAGTTAGCAACATGGATCAGGAGTCTCTAAAAAATTCTCTTTGACCCAATGATTCCACGTCCAGGAATCCACCTCAAGGGGGGTAGGGAAGAGATTTATTTGAAGAGTTATAGATAGGAATTTTCGTTACAAGGTTATTACACTATCAAACGGCTAGAAACAACTTAAGTATCCAATCTGGATTATATAAATACCTTATGGTACATCCTTATGATATCATAGTATTTAAATGAAGTTTTTGAAGAACAGTAGAGACTTTGGAAAATTCAAGATATCGTTTATCATTTAAGGGAAGGCGCAAACTCATAATTACAATATAATAGGATAAATGCGCTGACAGAGCAAGATGGGAACAAATGAAAAGAAGGAAGGATTCCCAGGACATTCGAGATGGGTCTTGAAGGATGTGTAGGAGTTTCCTGGTGGAAGGGAAAGAAAGGACAAAATGGAGACCCCCCTAAACTCTGCAAAAGAAGACAGGGAAGGTAATACACCTCTGGAGAAAGGCTTGCAGGAGCCATACCTCTCATACAACCCCGGCGTGCAAGCCCAACATGTTTCCTTAGGTGAGTGGATGAGCCTTGCCGGTGACAAAGGCTGGTGATCGTCTCCCCCAGGAAAAGGGACAACCCCCACCCCGTCCTAGGCCACGCCCACCGGAAGAGCTGGCAACGTAGGGTAGCACGTAGCATGGGCCGCTGGCGCAAGGCTGATCCCTACGCTCAGGAGCGAAATAAATCCCAGGGCCCACGTAGCCTCACCTCCCAGGTTTTTTGGCAGCGCCAAAAAGCGACCGGGAGTGTTGGCGCAGCACTCTAAGCGCTGTTGGCCACTGGACCCTGGCGGTGTGAAATTTCACACCCAGATGGAGGTTGTGTGAGGCTTCCCCAGGTGAGGAGGGCGTCTCCTCTGAGATGAGGAGAAGTAGAGCACCAGGCCAGGCAGGGAGCCCACAGAGGGCATGTGGGAACCAGAGCGTTCCCTTCTGAGCATGTAGCCTTGGCTCTCATGGGCCACTGCTTCGCAAGGTCTCTCCCACTGTCTGGGGTCCTGCTCCTTGGTCTCTGGCCGGTCGGCCCCCACAGCTACCCCTTTCGCTTCCGTCTTCATCCCTTGATGTTCTCCCCGCTGCCCGGTCTCCGAGGTTTGAGAGGGGAGGCTAGGGAGAAGAACGTCCCTGGCCTCCCTGCAGCTCAGCCCTCCGGCCTGGCTTTTGGACACTGGACTTCTCTTAGCTCAGGGTTTGTTTGAACTGTTTCTCCCGTGGGAACTGTGCATATCCCGGGATCCTGACCCAACCTAATCAAGGACTAGGCTGCCCTGAACTTAACAACCCAGCAGTGAGCTTGGACAGGCCCAGGGCTGTTCGCCTAAGGTACCAGGAGTTTCAGACAAAATCACCCTCTTCCTATGGTTTAGATCTCCCCTTGCTTACACCTCTCCACGACGTGGGTGTCTGGAGGGCTGTGTAGCTGAAGGATGCTGGGAAATGTGAGGAGATGTTTTCTCTGGTCATTTCTGGTCACCTGCACTCTCTTGCTAGTCACAGAGCCCATTTACTGTTGTCTTGTCCTTGTCCCTTTGTACTAGCTTTGCCTGCCTAGCGCCTGAAGGCTATGAGTTTCCTTACCTGAAGTTCACTTCTCCATGGCCTGTGGACGTTCTCACAAATGCTGCTTCTCCTCTGACCCAGATCATGGCTCATTTGGATGAAGCAGCCCGCCAGCTGTCCAAAAGTGGGACAACCCTCTATGCCGTGCTGGAGCTTAAGAAAGGTGCCTCACCTGAAGACATCAAAAAGGCTTACAGGTTCAGACCCGGCCTCTTATTAAACCCTGGAATTTGCCCCCCGCCCCCACTTAAACCCTGCTTTATGACCGTTTTTAAATCCTCAGGCCTTCACTTTGGGTGGGATGGAGTCATCACCCTTTTCATTGTGGCATGGCAAGGAATTTAGACTTGGGCTGCTTGCCTCCATTCTTCGCACTCATGCATTGCTTCTTCACATCTAGAGACCTATCCCTGTCATTCATCCTACCCTCGTCTCCCAGCCATTTTCCAACCATCCTCCCCTCACCCTCCTTTTTGGTATTGCCTGGGCAGGAAACTGGCCTTAAAGTATCATCCAGACAAGAATCCAGGGGATGCTCAAGCAGCAGAAATATTCAAAGAGATCAACACAGCCCACTCCATACTGAGTGACCCTAAGAAGCGGAAAATCTATGACCGGCATGGCTCGTTGGGAATATACATATACGATCACTTTGGTGAAGAAGGCGTCACATACTATTTTACGATGAATAGTTGCTGGTTCAAGGTATACAGTTCTTCCTAGCCCTTTAAGGATAAGGAAGTGGGGGTGGCGTGGGGCGCCTGGGTGGCTCAGTTGGTTAAACATCTGCCTTTGGCTCAGGTCCTGATCCCAGGGTCCTGAGATCGAGGCCTGCGTCAGGCTCCCTGTTCAGTGGGGAGTCTACTTTTCCCGCTCTCTCTCAAATAAATAAATAAAATCTTAAAAAAAAAAAAAAGGAAGGAAGGAGGGATGACCTACCTCTTCTTGGAGAGCTGACCCTTCTCTCCCAGGACAGAGGCTTCTGTTGTCTCATTTTCTGGGTGCCAGGGGGGTTGAGGGAGAGGAGCTGAAATGGAACTACAGAAGAAATGCTGGGTTGAAGCCATGCTTTCCTACCTTTCAGACACTGGTCCTCCTGTGTGCCCTGCTCACCTGCTGCTGTTGCTGCTGCTGCTGCTGCTTTTGCTGTGGAACGCTTAAGCCGCCATCTGAGGAGGTTGCCAGAAGATACCAGCAGAATGTCCAGAATCAGCCTCCGAGGGCAGGTGAGAGCCATAGACAGGGCCTGAGGTAAGAGCTGGTTAGGAAGGAATGAAATAGTTGGGGGTGAAACTCTGAACCCTAAATATGGGAGTCTCAGGTCGGTATTGAGGCAAAGTGAAGAAAGAGAAGAGGATACGCTTGGTTTCTGAGGGACTTAGGCCACCAGCTGACAGTTGGAATGTTATATCGGCCTCTAGTGACTATTAAGCTAAGGAGTTGGCGGGGGGTTGTGTGCCTGGGTGGCTCAGTGGGTTAAGCCTCTGCCTTCAGCTCAGGTTGTGAACTCAGGGTCCTGGGATCGAGCCCCGCATCGGGCTCTCTGCTAAGCGGTGAGCCTGCTTCCTCCTCTCTCTGCCTGCCTCTCTGTCTACTTGTGATCTCTCTCTCTCTCTGTGTCAAAAAAAAAAAAAAAAAAAAAAGAATGGGTGGGAGAGTACCTTGAAAAGGGAGTGGTTGAAGACAAGATAGAGGATGAAGTTTACTGCCTTTACTCTAAAGGAAACTAAGTGTTTGATCATCCCCACCCCAGGCCCTGAAAGTGTGCTTTGACTGAAGTTCACCATAGTGCCACCTAGTGATACTGACACGTAACTGCAAGGTAACAGGTTTCTGACCACGGGACTAAAAATTGTTACTAAAAATTTGTATATGTGTTTTTCAAATTTCATCATAGGAAACAAAAGAAACTTTAGAAGAGGTCAAGATGATGATGAAGATGATTTCTAAAAGAAGAAGAGGAGTGAGTATATATGAAAGCTAAAATGCAGTAATAATCAAAGGATAAGAAAAGAACACACACTAACTTCCAGTGAGTCATTAGTAGAAAGTTTGTATCTTAGACTTTGGATTTCAGGTATTTATATTCTTACCTGCAGGGGCCTTGCTTTAAATTCTCGGTCATTATTCCTTCTGCTTAATAAGATGTCAACCTCTTTTGCCCCCAGGTGCTGACCCAGCGAGGGTGCCTTCTGCTGCCCAACACACTGGACATGTTGAAGAGGGGAGCAAGTAGCCGTGTCCTGACATTGACCCTGATTTGCCCCTCTTCTTATAAAAATCCCAACTTCAGAAGCCTTGATGGCATCTATCCCAGTGAGGATGCCCCCTCTGTCCTTGATGGTATCATTGACCCTGGCAATACAGGGTCACCCACCTCCTCTTCTTTTTAGCTCCAGTCCCAATTTTAATCTGTTTAGACAGCAGCCCTCCCATCTCTACCCTTATGAGGTCTCAGGCCATGGTGACAGACTTTTCCCAAGCATTCTTTTTCCTGTGCCTTGAGATTTGGGCCAATTTCAACTGGTAAGGGCCCTGAGCCACTTTCACTGTCTCCACCAAGATCCTGATAACTGAGCAGAGTAGATCCTATCCCCGAGCTGCTGTACCAGCTAACCCTCCTTTGCCGGAACGCTGCACCAAGAACTTTAGTGTCAGCCTCATTCCTTCACCAGCACGCTTTTCTGGGGCTGGTCTCTTTCTCTGCTGCCCAAGCAGTTGACATTGTCAGTCTCATTCTGTGCCACCATGAGTAAACTCGGGCAAAGTATGAATGCATTGGAGGGGTAGGGGTAGCTACCCCACCTCTGGCTTCTCCCCAGACTGCACCCCAACACGGCCGCCCCTTAGCATGGGTCCTGGGCTGACTGAAGTTCATCTCTCAGTGCCTGCTTGCCTCCATCCTTTTCTGCACATCTTATGCAAGCTGATCACCATATATTTTGTTCTGAAAACAGGGGCGTGAAACATATGATAGGGAAAAGCTAATACTTCTACAGACCCTCTCCCCATTCTCGTGCCTCTTCACCCTGCCCGTTTTATCCTCTCCACACCGTTTATTTCCCATCCATCCAAGGTCAGAGCCAAGTAACTCCTCAAATTTCTCTCTCACCACTGGGAGAAGGGCTAAGGAATGTCAATAAATAAAAGAGCTTTTGTCCAACCCCATGCATCTGTTGGGCGCCAAAAAGGTGAATCCTGCCTGGGGTAGAGGGAAAGGCCCACAAGAGAAAAAGACAGAGGGCCGGTGCTCACGTCTGAGACCAGCCTGTCTTGGAGAAGTGTCGTCCAGGAGTCCAAGAGGGGTCCAGCAGGGGTCCAGGATAACCGTGGAGTGAAGACAAAGGCCTCCCGGAGCCTTGTGATTACGACTTTGTCAATGCTCTAAAATTTCCCTGGAGACCAATTCCCCTGGTGCCCAAAATAGGTTCCTGGCACTCAGGTCCTTTCTGCTCAGCTCAACTTCTCTCGATTTCCTAACAAATTTAAAGTCTTTGGAGTGGCTCCAGTGATGTGTTCATGGACCAAATCCCCACACTTTCTCAGAGGCATGCTCATGAGGTCGTTCCAGGCCCTGGTGCAACTGCCAGCTCTAGCGTCCTTAGCTTCTTTTCCTAGGATGATAGAAGAAAGTTCTGGGCTAGAACAGAAATGGACCAGAAGTGTTGGACCAGAGCCTTTCCCACTAAGCTCTGGTGTCCCTGTTCTGAATCCCAGGGTTCAGCGGAAGAGGGTGAGGGTCACTGGCTAAGCCTTGGAGGCACTGACTAGGCTCTGGGTCTGGTGAGTTCTTTCCTGCCACCCTGAGCCATGTCAGGCGCCCCCATCCAGGCCAGTGTAGGTTCTTCCTGGAAGAAGAGCCCATGCTTATGGGGCTCAGGGGCCATAGGAGCCTTCTGAGCCTGAGAGCTGGACACCTTCAGAGACCCACCTTTCACCATGAGCAGCGAAGCTCACCCCTGCCCTTGTGTAAGGCAGTCACCCATTCCTGAGTGAGTCAGGGTCACTCACTCAGTGACAGCTGTGGCTCGCCTTACATGAGCTAAATCGGGAGTTGGAATGTCATGCAGATGCCCCTTGTTCCCCACCCCCACGTTAAAATTAATCTCCTCTCTGGGAAGCAAGGGACAAACAGTGCTGCCCATAGAGTGAACAAGAGTCACTTGGAGAACAAAAGGAGGAATTTTGGGGGACGAGTCATTCAGGGAGGGAGGGACAGAGAAAGCTCGCTACATGTGCCTGGCTGGGGTACAGAGCAAAGAGTAGATAAAGACAGAGAAGTGTCTGACAACAGCCATCTGAGGACAAGGGGAATTGTTGGAGGAAGGGACAGGAGAGCAAGCAGAGCTATTTCAAGAGTGAGCAGTAGAAGGGAACATAAGAACCCACGGACTGTCTAAAGTCAACGAGGAAGGGTCCAGAGGCAGTCAGGGAAGGCCAGGACCGGGGCCAAGGCCAGGGCAGGCACGATCACTGAGGGGATGAACTTCACAGTGGGTTTCAAGCCGCTGCTAGGGGATGCACACAGCATGGACAACCTGGAGAAGCAGCTCATCTGTCCCATCTGCCTGGAGATGTTCTCCAAACCGGTGGTGATCCTGCCCTGCCAGCACAACCTATGCCGCAAGTGTGCCAACGACGTCTTCCAGGTGGGCCGGGCCCGGGGGGGCGGGGACCCCAGAAGCTGGCGGGCAGGGCCCTCCACGTGGTGGGTGGTGGCTGTCCTGGGGTCCCAGGAGATCCCAAAGTAAGCATGAGTCAGCAGCTGCTCTGCAAGCTGGCAAGGACAGGCAATGTGCGTGGGGACCGTAGCTGGAAGGCCAGTGTCCACAGGGGAGAGAAGATCCCCATAGAAACTAGAGCCCGGGAGGGAGGTGATCCCGCACCAGGCTGTGTGGTGATCTGCACTGGACTCGGCATTCCAGTTTGGAGTTTCGGGTTTTGAGGATGATACGGGAAACTTGGAGAAAATACCAATAAGATAAACATGACAAAATGAGCCCTGTGAGCAAAGTCCATGATGGGACGGTTTGTATTGGAGGCAAAGCTCAGGGCGTCCATCTTTGGGGGGCAGAGTTAGACGGTGGGCAGGAGAGTGGGACTTCTCGCCAACTGAAGTTCACACTTGGGCCCCATTCCACGTCGGTCAGTAGAGGGGCCTGCTGGTTCAAGAGGGCTGTGGTCACTTACATAGAGAGGAGGCAGAGAAATGCAACCGGCTTTGGTTGATGTGAGCCTGTGGGGCAAAGCACAGCTAATCAAATTCACAGATGTTGTTTTAGCTCCTGGTTCGGAAGAAAATGCAGCATATACCAGAATGGTTCATCAGTGGGTTTTCTTGCTTGTCCTGTGCCACTGGAACGAAGATCAGAGAGAGTAAGGGGAGAAGTGCACGCTCATATGTGTGCACACGCACTTGCACATGCACACCTTGCTAATGAAGTAAAATCTCGGACTAGACCAAAGCTGGCCAGCTCCATAGGCACGGCAGTGATAATGATACCATGAACACATATTCTTCAACTGTATCAGAATTCAGGAGGAAACGTATTGAACACAAATGATTTTTAACTTAACTAAGAAAACGCTCGCGCTCTCGCGCTCTCTCTCTCTCCAAGGGGGAATTCCTTGGGGCAGCATGTTTGGGAGAAAATTAATGCACTAGCTAAGTCAGGCTGTCCCACAGTGGTGCTCTGTGACCTACCTACACTTTGCTGTCTTTGCTTTGCTGTCTGCCATCTTCCTGTTGAGGCCCATTCCCATCTCCTATTTTTTTTTTAACATTTTTAGAAGATTTTATTTATTTGTTTGGTGGAGAGAGTGCAAGTGAGAGAGCACAAACAGGGGGAGCAGCAGAGGGAGAGGGAGAAGCAGACTCCCTGCTAAGCAGGGAGCCCCACCTGGGACTTAATCCCAAGACCCTGGGATCATGACTTGAGTCATGGCTCAACTGAGCCACCCAGGCGCCCCTCTGTCTCCTCTTCTTCTAATTGTCTAAACCTGCCATTACATTGTTTGGCTCCAGAATATCTCAGAGCCTGTGGTTTTCTCTCTCTGGGAAGGGCTGACTGCTCTCTCTGCTCATTCTGGACATCAAGTCACGTGCTAGAGCCCTCTCCTTGCCCACCATCTTAGTTTCCCCTTGTGCTAAGTGCCTTTCTGAACATCCTTTAGGCTGATGTGCCCAGGAGGGAATGGCAACAAGATTTTGCCAGCCCTTCTCATGAATTTGTAGTGAAGCGTCCTTCCATTAGATCTCGAAATACATGAAAGCAAAGAGAAGTTTTGAAAGTGAGGGTAATGTGTCCTATTTAAAAAAATGGCCAGAATATTAAAGTACAAGGCGCGTAGTATCACCAGATGGTCCCAGGGACAGCTTCTCTATGTGCAAGTTAGAGGATGTTTAAGTGGCCTCACCGTTTTGGTTCCTTGAAGCTCTGAAATACTGATTGGACCCAGAGAGACCTGGGACTGACCCAAACCTTATGCATAATATTTAGGAAACAATATGATTCCCAGAGCTTTGGGATGGTTCTGTGGATCTGGACTAATGTGTCTCTTCTATTTTCTTTTTTTTTTTTTTTAAAGATTTTATTTATTTATTTGACACAGGGAGAAAGAGAGTGAGCAAGCAAAACAAGTAGGCAGAGAGGCAGGCAGAGGGAGAGGGAGAAGCAAGCTCTCCGCCGAGCAGGGAGCCTGACTTGGGGCTTGATCCCAGGACCCTGGGATCATAACCTGAGCCAAAGGCAGATGCTCAACCAGCTGAGCCACCCAGAAGCCCAATGATGAGTCTCTTCTAAAAGTGCAGAGCGCCCTGCCCCCTCCCCAAGAAGAAGAGTGAACAGCTCATTTCCTCGCTCTGCTTTATTTGGGGCAGCCTGGTGGGAGGCTGACCCAGTTCTTTGGCTGCACTTATGTATATACATCTCAGTAGATCTCCCTCCGAAAGATGAGCATATTTAGTTTTTTCGCACATTGCCTCCACATTTTGACAACTGTAGGCATAATCAGATTGTCTGTTTTCTAAGTATGGGAACAAGAATAGGACTTTTGGTAACTCTATCTTAAAACCATTTGGGAAGAATACCCTGAGAACATTGCCTAGAAAGTTAATAGAACTCATAAAACTTAAACCAGTGTCACACACACGCACGCACACACACACACATACACACAGACACGTTTAAAAAAAAATAGTATGGGAGTTTATATCATGACAAGAGACCGCCTCAGGCCCTCATTTCGCTTCTCCAAATGGAGGCAGCCATTTCCAACTTTCTTGGGTATCCTTCCAGAGATTTTCCACAGATGGGTACGTGTGTGTGTGTGTGTGTGTTTCAGCTACACTCATAGTCCTACATCTGCCTTTGCTCGCTCACTCTCTCGGTAATTGTTCCATCTCCACACATTGAGATCTGTGCCTTCGTTTTAAAATGGCTGCATAGGGGCGCCTGGGTGGCTCAGTGGGTTAAGCCGCTGCCTTCGGCTCAGGTCATGATCTCAGGGTCCTGGGATCGAGTCCCGCATCGGGCTCTCTGCTCGGCAGGGAGCCTGCTTCCCCCCGCCCTTCCTCTCTCTCTGCCTGCCTCTCTGCCTACTTGTGATCTCTCTCTGTCAAATAAATAAATAAAAATCTTAAAAAAAAATAAATAAAATGGCTGCGTAGGGGCGCCTGGCTGGCTCGATCAGTTAAGCGTCCGACTCTTGCTTTTGGCTCCGGTCATGATCTCAGGGCCCTGAGATCGAAACTCAGGGTGGAGCTGAGCCCGGACCCTGCTTGGGATTCTCCCTCTCCCTTTCCCTCCCCCTCCCCCTCTGTCTCTCCCAGCCCCTCCCCCATTCCACCCCCTAAATAAATAAATAAAATGGGGGCATAATGTTCCATTGTTATGACTGGACCGCAGCCTATTTAAATCAGTCATCTGAAACATTTACATGGTGTCCAGTGTTTTGCTGTCCTAAAAACTGCTGTGATGGACAACAAGCAAGAATTTTAGGGAGTTGTGGGATGCCTGTCTGGCTCAGTTGGTAGAGCATGTGACTCTTGATCTCAGGGTTGTGAGTTCAAGCTCCACATTGGGTGTAGAGATTACTTAAAAAAAAAAAAATTTTAATAAAAGAATTTTAGGGATGCCTGGGTGGCTCAGTGGGTTAAAGCTTCTGCCTTCAGCTCAGGTCATGATCCCAGGGTCCTGGGATCGAGCCCCACATCAGGCTCTCTGCTCGGTGGGGAGCCTGCTTCCTCATCTCTCTCTCTGCCTGCTTCTCTACCTGTGACCTCTCTATCAAATAAATAAATGAAATCTTAAAAAATAAAATAATTTTAGAGAACTGTGATTTTATAACATCAGGTTAATTGCCCAGGAAGCAAACTGGAAAATGTTTAATTGAACATTTAATTGAAGATGTTGAACAGCATTAAGGGTTTGGAAGAAAATCATCCAGAATCCTACCTCCCCCAACACAGTGATTTTCACGTTTGTATATTACTTTCAAGCCCCACTGGCCATACACATCTTTACATAGTTGCCATCACATTTTAACTAGGTTTCTTTAGAACCATAATACCTCTCTCTCTCTTTCACTCTGAATTTAAAGAGAAAGACACCAAAATACCACATTAACCTCCTCTAATTTCTCCCTCCCTATTTCTCCACACTTGCACCCACTCAGCTAACCAAGCACTTTGACGAGGGGAAAGCTGTTGGTGTGGGAATTTGACACAAACATCTTCCCATACGCTTCTGTATTTGTAAACTCTATTCCGTCCTAACTCCCTTAAGCCAGCCTTCAGTTTATTTTTATACCTGCCCCCACTTCACTGTGAGCACTTGTTTATGGGCTGCAGCCTGTTGTGATTTAGCAGACAACCAGAAGGTCTTGGAAGAAGGTTGTTGGGAAACAGCTTTTCTGGAAGGTGTCCATCTAGGGAGAGATGTGCAAATACGGGAATCTGAAGAAAAGGGCCACCTTCTCTAATAAAGGGTGCCCTGGGAAAGAGATGCCCTCTGTTTCACTCTACCCTGAAATCTAGTTTCTTATCCATTCACTGTGAGGACCTGTGGTCATCGGGAGAGCCTGCCTCCTTCACCACTTCCACGGCTCCTGAAGGCACCGGGACCTCCCCAGCCCCACGGTGGCGTGGTGGGGGGGGGGGGGTCTCCTTTATGAGAAATTGGTTCAGTGCAAGTTTGTGAATGTCATTTACCTTACAGCAGGGTTAGGGATTTTGCTTACTTGATGGAAGAAACTTGGTTAGCGGAAAACAAAAAGCCTAGACCAAGACTGGCTCTTGGGTTCTAGTCCCTAATCTAGTCCTTTCTTGGCACGTGATGTCAGACTATTTTACCTCTTCAAGCCTGTTTACACATATATAGATGAAAAGGATGCTTTAAGCTCAGCTTTAACATCCTTGTAATTCTAACAATCTGATTTCACAAATTCAAGAAAACTTACTATGGATTTCTTTTTTTTCCCCCTAAGTTTGTTTGTTTGTTTGTTTGTTTGTTTATAGCAATCTCTACACCCAACATGGGGCTCGAGCCCACAACCCTGAGATCGAGAGTTGCCTGCTCTTCCGACGGAGCCAGCCAGGCACCCTTGGATTTCCATTTTTTAAGCATTTTCTATTTGGTTACCGGTGTCC